CATTAAATTATCTATTTCTTGAAACTTTGATATAATTTCCCAGTAAAACTAAACCTGCTTTTCTTTTTGGGGAGGAGAGGGCTAGGCAGGTAGAGGAGAACACTAACTCATTGACAAATTTCTTAAATTTTCTTTACAGTGCTTTTTTTCCTTTAGACCTTCTCTTCTGGGGACAATGTGACAATCACAGATTTAATTCAGATTCTCTTTTTGAAGAATTCTTTTGATATCCTTGGTATCTTTGGTTATTTGCCTATACTCATTTCTAATTGTGTGATATAATTCTAAAGTGGTTAAATGATAGAGGCAAATGATTGGAGCTAGACTATATCTATTATTTTCAAGCGACCTTTCATTTGTCTGAAATTATGTCACAATGAAATAATTTTTATCAACTTTGGAAGATGAGTTTGAGATGTTATTAATTAAAATTCGGGCTATGTGGCACTCACAAAAGCCACCTGCAGAGCACCCTAATATTCTTAAGAGCAGCTGAAAGTTATAAAAGAGAGGTCCACAGGACAGATAATCAGAAAAGACATGCCAGAGGTATAAAGACACTAGGAGCCGAGAAAAGAAAGAGGTTTTACACGTGGGCCCTGAACTGAAAGCAACAAGCTGGCAAATGCAGCACTGATTTTTGCAAATTAGCTGCTCTCCATATGGGCATTTCTACACAATGTGCTTTAGAGAATAGCAGAAGATTTTGTTTTGTTTTTTAAAGGATAATAAAGAGTGCCACCAAGAAGAACAGAGGTTAGTTAGTAGTCTGTAAGTTCTAGACTCAAGTTAAACTTTAAATTCCTAATAATTACCTTTTCCTGTCTTTTTTCAAAAGAGGATTTAACTTCATCAGAATCTTTCTTTACATTTAAGATATCTGTATCTTCAGTATCCTCGTCATCTGGCAAAGCAAAGGTCACTCTTTTCAAGACTTCTGTATGTCGTTTACTATCTTCACCTTCTTCAAAGTCATTATCTTCATCTCTATAATACCAAAAAGCTTATGACAGGAAACACTCCTTTTCGTTAGGAAAATAAAAAGAAACAAATTTTCTAATAATAAAAGTTCTTCTTTCATACACCTAATGCAACAAATACTCAGAACTTTTAAAGAGATTCAATTATTAAGGTACAACAGAAGGAATTACTTAGGTGAAATAGAACAAAAAGGGTCCAACATATAGAAAATAAATTATTCATCAATCTACAATACCAACGTATCTCATAAAAATAACAACAGGGTATTTTTATTGGCACAAAAAATAAATCAAAGCTCCTTGTAATAAAGGTTTGATTGCTACTGCCAGTGATATTTACCTTCATGAGATGACCTCTAACATGCCTTTAAATTCAGAGACTTACTTTGGGCTATCTTGAGACTATCTGACCTTAGAGAATCCGCTAGAGAATCTAACTTTTTAGGACAAACATATTTGACAACTATGAGTACACATATATGAGTGGGCAGCTCCAGCCTACAATGTAAAGGATGATTCAAAACACTCACGTTTCAGAAATGCTTTCTTCTCTTTCTTCATCAGCAATTTCTTCTTCTTCATTTGAACCTAGCTCATCATCAAGAACACTTGCTGCGTCTTCATCACTTTCAACTGGATCAAAAAAATCTTTGTATTTCAGGTTTCTGGAACTTTTACCTGACTAAAATAAAAAGACTTTTAAAACTTTTAATTAATGATAGAAAACTGCATTAAAACACGCATATGTGCGTATGTGTATTGTATACGTATATACATAGATCTCTAACACTATAAGCTAAAAATAGTCATTAGGGAAAATTGGCAACTAATAACACTACCATAAAACCGTAAGAACTATCGGAACATACAACCCAAATCTACCTATAGATTCATTCATGACTTATATGACAGAGCACAATATTACATATATCTAAATCTGTTAACCACAGTTATTCTCAAAATATCCCTGCCTGAATAAAGTATACAAATGCCTTCCTTTTATTATTATTTTTAGTGCTTGGTGAAAATATATGTTTGAAGAAAAATTCTGAATATCTCTAACATGTGATTATGTTTCTTAAGCTACAAAACAAGTATTTTGTGATAAGGTAATGATGGCTTTGGTTTAATTTTTCCAGTCAATTCTTTTCAACTGATGTAAATATTTTACTTAAGTCCTACTGAATTTTAAAACTTTTTTCTAGAAATAGCACAAAATCTAATTTGAGGAGGCAGAAAGTGCTTGCCTTCTCTCATCTCCCAAAACTTTACCTTAACTTTGTGACTTCCAAACAGCCCTCCTTCATCTTCATCAGAATTAACATCTTCAAAAAAGTCAATATCTTCCTCCTCCTCCGCCTCATCTTTTTGTTCCTCTTCTTTTTCTATGTTTTCTAAAAAGGTCTCCATTTCAGACAGTTTGAAGAATTTATCATCTACTATGGACTTTTCTCTTGGTTTCCTAGGCACTTGGTTTTGCACCTTGCTCTGCTGTTCCAGTTTGCTGATATCAAAGTCAAGATCAGAATCCTCATCACTGAAAACTGGGCTTTTTCTTAGGGCAAATTTGCTCGAGTTTTTAGCGCTCTCACTCCCTTCAGGATCCTCACCACTCAGGTCTGACACTTCCTTCTCCTCCAAATCTTGTTCTAGGTCCTCCTGGCCATCAGCCTCCATCTCTGAGCCATCCTCTTCACACTCCTGCTCCTCACTCTCTGGGAGAAGAGTGATGTCTTCGTCTTTAATGGTTTCACTAACTGCATTCTGGAAGTACTGTAAAATTGGTTCATTTTGCAATTCCAGTTGTTGCCAAATCTGCTCATCATCAAAATTGTCTATCACTAGTTTTTGTAAACGACTTCCGTGGATTCTGCCATTCTCTAGTGTTTTATTAAAGTCATAAAGTACTTTTGTTAAAGAAGTGAAGTTTGATGCCAATTCATCTTGAATCCTATCAAGGAGGTGGGAGGAGGAAGTTAAATGTGATTTATAGTAGTAGGTAATAATTTCACAGCACTCTGAATTAAAACGAAAAAAAAGCCCAACTCTTGTGCGAAATCAAATCTGAATGAAATGTTAAGTATAGATTCCAGCCCCCAAGAGTGAATTATCTTGCTGATGAGCCCTATTAATGTAAAAAAAATGTCAATTGAGTATCTGTGAATCTGCTGTATTAGTTTTAGGCAAGGAAACAGTTACAGATCTATTTGCCTAGAGATATACAGTGAATCTGAGCCTTAAATTCTCAATTCTGCTATATTACATGCCACTCCATTCATTCAGTCAGCCAACGGTCAACACTTGTTCTGGCAAGAGTGGTCAGAAAACACATCACTGAGGATGTCCCATCTGAGATGAGACCTATACATAAGGAGACAATCTTACAAAGATCTGGAAACATGTATTCTAGACAGAAGAAACAGTAACAACAAATTTCCCAAGACGGAAACGAGCTTGGTGAGTTTGAGGAACCAGAAAGGCCAGCATGGATAGAGTGTGGTGAAGGAGGCAGGTAAGGTTAGAGAGATAGGTGGGAGCCGAATCATGCAGAACTCAGAGATAAGAGTTTGCCATTTTAACTGTAAAGAGAAGCCATCAGGTTTTAAGCAGAGGAGCAAATGATATAATTTACACTTTGGAAAGATGGCCTATGGAGGAAAAGGGATGAAAGTAGGGTGACTAGGAGGCTGATGCAGCTGTCTACGCAAAGGATGAGGGAGAACTGTCCTGGGTTAGAGCAGTGGATACTGTGAGAAGTAGCTGAATATAGTTTGGAGACAAAACTGACAGGATTTGCAAAGGAATTAGATGTAAAATTGAGGAAAAAAAGAAGGTATCAGGAAAGTAGCTTAGTTACATACCTGAACGACTGGAAAGATAGAGGTGCTATTTACTGCGACAGGGAAGGCAGGTGGTGCAGCATGGGGAAACGATTTCAGGGAGGGCAGAGTACAGGGGAGTAAACAGAACCCACAGTTCGCAAATTTGAGATGCTGAGAGTATACGGCTGTCGTTGCTGTGAGCTTGGAGCTCAAGGGAGCGATCGAGTTTGAAATACAAATCTGGGAACCATAACTTCATAATTTTAAGGCCTTTAACAAAATACAAAGAGCTTGTGCCAGGAAGAGGGATGAAAGATAGTCCTAATTCTCAAAAAGCCCAGTCGCGGAGGTTGATAGACAACAGTTAATACTGTACGCTGTATGAAGTTAACACAAGTTAATACTGTATGAAGTTAATAGTGTATGAAGTCAATAACGTGTGATGATGGGTAAGTAAGCACCGGGTGCTTTGGAACATATGGGAGAAAAGAGCAACCAACAGCGTGCGTATGTGTGGAGAGGTAGGGGGTGCGTAAGACTCAACAGAGGCCTCTGGGCGTTAATAACTGAGCTTAGACTGATTTCAATAGCACACGACTGGGAAACCCGCACTGTCCAGCTCTTAACAATTTTAAAAATTCTGATAGGCTAGAAGAGCGTAAACTATCCGAAATTTGGGGAAAAGGGATCTACGCTTCCCCTTACCTTCCCCCTACGCCAGGATTTGCTGGGAGCCCGCAAGCCGCGCCCACGGGAGACCTGGGTCACACCCCGAGACTGGGCTCTGCGCACTTACGTGAGGAAGCACTCCGGCTGGCTGGTGGCTTTTCCAACCTCCTTCAGACACCGCTCCAGGGTCCGTCGACGCCAGACCCGCGGGGCCATGGCTACCTGTAACTCCAGGCACAACGCCTCATGCAAAGGAAGACGGCAATCCGGAAACCGCGTCACACAGACGCGCCTGCAGCAACCTGGAGTCTGGAGTAGAAGGTTCCGCGGCGCACAGGTTCCGGACCCACCCCCGACCAGAACCAATGGGAGCGCGAGAACTTTCACTGGGGTTGCGCAGAGGGGCGGGGCGAGAAACCAAAAAGAGCCACTGGGCAGCCCAAGCGCCTTTGAACTTTCTCCAAACTTTATGTTTTCTATTCCCGAGGGGCCCACAGGGGGTGACGCGTCCTCGCTTTAAGTTTCTGCTTTAAATACAGTAGGTGGCTTCAATACATTGTATTGTAAGAGAAGAGCGGGCCCGCCACCAGCACCCTCGAACGCAGCAACACTCGCCACGCCCCGAGCCTCGCCTGTCCCGCCCCTTCAGCCTTTGCCCCGCCCCCTGGCCAGGTCGCCCCTCCCTTCGGCCGGGCCCCGGGCCCGTCGGACGCACGCCGGACTCAACGGGGCGCTTTCCAAGATGGCGCGCGTGCTGAAGGCGGTGGCCGTGAGCTCGTTAGGCCTAGGTGAATACCCCGCAACTTCAGGGCTCTCCGTGGGCGGGACGCGCGGGACCGGAGGCCAGGGGCCCGAGCAGGCCGCGGGCGGCCCGAGCACCTAGACCTGCAGCGCCCCGCGGCCGCTATCTGCGCCTGTAGGCTGAGGGAATCTTCCAGAAACGCCTCAGGTTAGCGCGGAGATTTCCTTTTTGTAATTGAGTCTCACAGCCACCCTTGGAGGGGTGTGCAGTTGACGTTGCCACTTTTTATATGTGGCCCCAGAGAGGCGAGGGAACCTGTCCAAGGGGACAGCAAGGCTGGGACACAAGTACTGGCGGAAATGGCAGAGGGACAGTGTCCTAGTTTACCGCGCAGCATCAGAGACTGGGGAGAAACCAGCAAAAGGACAAGTCCTGTCGAAAGCGTGAGCTGAACTCCGAGCACCTCCAGTACCCCCCTGGGGACGCTTGAAGGTCGGTTCTGGAAAGAATACCAAGGGAGTGGTTTTTTCCCACGCGCCCTAATATATTTATTATCTTGTATATAAACAAGAAAGATAAAGGCAGACGGATTTGGAAGGTTCCTAGAGTTGTCTATATCTCCGTTAAAAAACAAAAAGGCTAAAAGGCTAGAGTCAGTGATTTCAGAAACAACCGTTGTGACTCCCCATCCACCCACTTTCTCCTCTTCCGGTTTCTTCTCTTCCTCCCTCATCAGAGGGCAGCTGTTGCCCTGAATCTGAAATTCCCTGTTAGGAAGGATGTGCCAAATGGTAATGTCTCAGAATGACTCCTGAGCGTTTGTGATAAACCCTCAGCTTAGCACCTTCAGAAAGTGTTCAAGGGGAGGAGCCTTCACTAATATTAGGCAGCTCTCCTGGAAAGTGCTCTCTCTGTTCCTCCTCCTGAAATGCACAGTTCCAGTCATCCTTTGACATGTCCTCTCAAACTGAGCCAGTTCTCTGTTGATGGCTGTCGTCCTTCTAACCAACCACAAAGTTTCTTCTGCATCTCTCATTGCGAGTCACCAGGGCTGAGTGATGATCCACATACGGAGAAGTGCACCATAGGGTTTCAGCTGTCTCAGCACTTAAGTAGTTTAGAGAGGTGATACGTACATGTGAAAAAATATTACAGGCCGAGCATAGCTTGTTAAAATGAATCTATACTTAACAGGTGGTACTCAAGTTTGATAATAACATGCTTTCCTGGCCCCTCTGTCCTCTCCCTGGTAAAATACGAGTCAGTCTCTTAGTTCACATACCATTGCAATAGCCTTTTGCAAAAGAACTCATAAAACCAAAAGTCTTGGGGCTGACCCGGTGGCATAGTGATTAAGTTCACACACTCCCCTTCAGCACCCTGGGGTTCACAGGTTCAGATCCCAGGTGCACACGTACAGACCACTCATCAAGCCATGCTGTGGTGGTGTCCCACATACAAAATAGAGGAGGATTGGCACAGATGTTAGCTCAGCAACAGTCTTCCTCAAGCAAAAAGAAGATTGGCAACAGTTGTTAGGTTAGGGCCAATCTTCCTCACCAAAAAAAGCAAGTCATCTCTTATTATCTCTTAGAAAGTAGATATTGTTCATAGAATGAACACTAAAGATATTAAAAATTGAGAATCGAAAGAATGGTAAAACATTTCAGAGAAATGAGAAAACTAAATGTAATAGCTTAACAACATCAACTTTGATGTAAGGCAGACCTGGGCTTGAGGCCCAGCTTTGCCACTTAGTGTGACCTTGAAGAAAATAGTCAGATCTGTTTTCCTTGTATCTAAATGGGAAAAATAATAATATCTGATCCGTAGAGTTATTGTGAGGATTAAAGGGCTAGTGAACTATTACTGTTATCTCGCTTTTTTGACCATGATGACTAATAGGCAGAGCTGGGCTATCACATGATTCACTCCCACTTCAGAGTTTGTGATTTCAGTTTGCTGAGGCAGAGTTACAGGATTAGGCAAGATTACAGAGTAGTAATTGTTGCATAACTCTAATGATGAACTAAACCCATGGCTCTTTATTGGAAAGGTGAGGTGAAATCAGAGAGATGGTGTGCCATGGGATCGATCAGTCCTCCACTGCTGATAAATCCCAGCAGCATGGAGAATGCCTAGAGACTAATGCGGGCCGGTCTGCATTGGGGATAATAACCAGCTTATAGGTTCTTGAAAGGTATAATTATCATAAATATAGTTTCCACTTCTATATGATATTAAAAAGAGTTCACAAGTTACAACAACAATGGTCATGAGTAGTGTAAGTCAGAGAGTTACTATAAGCAACTAATCTTAACTTAGAAAAATTGTAAATCAGTATTGCTATATCAAAAAGCAAAAAGAATACTGTGCTTATAATGCCTTCTAGCAGCAGTATTCCATGAGGATGTCAGTAGTCACTAAATACTGAAATACTACCAAAGATATTCTAAAATCAGCCAGCCAATAAATTTTCCAGAGTGAAAGGAGACTAGTGTCCTTGTCATAAAATGTAGTAAGTTATGGATTGATGAAATGAAGCAGTTAATACAAAAACACTGGGTATGCCAAAACAGTGGCCAAATACAAGCAATCTTTAGTTATTGAAGAAGATTTTTAAGACAAGTGCAGTTCCGTGTCTAGGGTAGATGCACAGTCAACTGTTTCCTTTAAAAGCATAAAATGTATTAGAAGTCAGAGATGCTTACATTTATGATCAGGTTATTGATGTAACCTTTCTAAAAGTGCCAATAATGATAATTTTTGGAATTAATAATGTACTTTGTGCCAGGCACTTTACTAAAACCCTTTATTACCCATTTTACTCTCATGACAATTCTATGAGGTAGATATTACCTTCCTATATGAGAAAACAAAGGCACAGAGAGGGTAAGTAACTAGCCCAAGTTACACAGCTAATGGTAGGGTCAGGATTTGAACCAGGGCAGGCTAGAGCCAGAGCCCCCATACCTAACCATCAGGCACACTGCCTCTTATGTGATACTTAGACACAAAACCTGAAGGCGAACATATAAATAATAATTTGAATATTAGAGAAGAGGCATTTTTATAGATGCATTTTTAGAATTGCTAAATTATCCTTTTTTTTCCTTTTATTGTGGTTAAATATACATCAAATGAAATTTACCATTTTAACCATATTTAGTTGCACAGTTCAGTGCCATTAAGTACATTCATATTGTGCAACCACCACCGTCATCCATCTCCAGAACTTTTTCATCGTTCCAAACTGAATCTCTGTACCCATTCAACAATAATTCCCTCGTTATCCCCTCCCCCAGGCCCCTAGTAACCAGCTATTCTACTTTCTCTCTATGAATTTGACTACTCTAGGTGACTCATAGGTGGAATTACACAATATGTGTCCTTTTGTAACTGGCTTGTTTCACTTAGCATAATGTTTTCAAGGTTCCTCCATGTTGTACCATGTGTCAGAATTTCATTTGTTTTTAAAGGTGAATAATATTCCATTGTATGTTTATTCTACATTTTGTTTATCTTTTCGTCTGTCAATGGACACTTGGGTTATTTCCACCTTTTGCCTACTGTGAATAATACAGCTATGAACGTGAGTAGGTAAATATCTCTTTGAGTTCCTGCTGTAAGTTCTTTTGGATATATACGCAGAAGTGGTATTGGTGTATCACATGGTAATTTTATGTTATGACCCCACTTTTAAGAAACATAAAACTTCACAGAAAAACAGGAGAAGCTCAGAAAAATGAATTGGATTAAACACACAATAAGTTCCAATTCAACTTGCAAAGGATTGGCTTCATGAAAAAAGTTAGTTTTCAAAATGGAAATTGAACCTGTTAAGAGACAAGAGTGGCCAAGTTACATGACTATGAGGAAAGATTTACTTTTATTATGGAGTCATATGTAAGTGAGGTAACAGAAACATGGTTTATTTATATAGTGCTGTGAAATCCACTGGTTGAATGCTGAAAACGTATGGGTTTCTTGCCAAAGTAACTTGAAGGCACTTTTCATGAATGGCTAAGTATGTTATGTCTCCTCAAACCAGATGTGCAAAAATTCAGACCTAAAAACTTATTGTATGTTCTAATATTCGATTATGTGAAATTTTCATGACTGTGCAAATATACAAAAAACTGAATTGTACACTTCAAACAAGTAATCTTTATAGTATATAAATTATATCTCAATAAACCTGTTAAGAAAACTTTCTTATTCACAGTTTTATGACACTTTATGTACAAGTTTAACATATAATTTCTTTAAACAGTAAGTACCCTTATTATTAGTGTATTTGAGTCTATAGACCTTTGCAGCTAAACCTTTACTTATTTGGAGACAATGTTTAGCAAGCCTGGTCTGAAATAAGTATAATCTGAATGGAAAGACATGCAATGTTATTTTTAAGTCAAGGCACTAAAAGTGTTTAGCAGGAACCAATATTGAAGGAAAGATAGGAATTAGAGTTAATATACAACACCAGATTTGGTAACATATCTATTTCTTGTACATCAGATTCCTGACGTGTGAAAGTCGTGTATTTCTTAAGTTTGTAGATACTCATCTTTACAATCCTCTTTTTTTAACGCTCCTGTTTTTAAGTATGTGATACATTTATTCACACATTTATACATTGTAGTTTATTCTTGCAAAGTAACTTTTTAGAATAGTCACAAATTACACATTATGGAGTTCAAAGTAATGCAATTCTGCTGTATCTTTGTGAGATAGGAGGCAGAGAAACCCAGAACTAAAGAGTTGTGAGTTCCTACCAGTTGGATAGCAACCTAAAATAAAGATATCTTTTAAAAGTTGACAAAAATCAAAGGAGAAACTACAATTTTTTAAAGGTTGAGTTCATAAAAAACTTTTGAGGAGCACAAGTTTTTTATTAAGGATCTATAAGGATCTATATCATTAGCCTCCTTATTCCATGTTTCATAGTCCAATTTGCTTGGTCTACAGGATTTCACATTTCACACGTAGACTTTTACTGCCAGGATCATCCTTTTTTTTTTTTTTTAAGATAATTCACATAACATAAAATTAACCATTTTAAATAAAATGTACAATGAGCAGCATTTATTACATTCACTGTGTTGTGCAACTATCACCTTTAGTTCCAAGACATTTTCATCACCCCAAATGGATACCATATGCCAATTAAGCAGTCACCCCCTGTTCCCTTCTGCTTCCAGCCCCTGACAATCACTATTCTGCTTTTTGTTTTTATAGATTTACCTGTTCTGGATATTTCATATAAATGGAGTCATACAACATATGACCTTTTATGTTTGGCTTCTATCACTTAGCGTAATGTTTTTAAGGTTCACCCATATTGTAGCATGTATCTGCACTTCATATCCGTTGTGTGGATGATATTTCATTGTACACATGTGAATAATATTACATAGTTTGGCTATTGGGAATAGTGCTGGTTTGAACATTTGTATACAAGTTTTTGTTTAAGTGCCTGTTTTAAATTATTTTGGGGGCGGCCTGGTGGCATAGCAGTTATATGGCCTCAGCAGCCCAGGGTTCCCCAGTTTGGATCCCGGGTGCAGATCTACACACTGCTTATCAAGCCATGCTGTGGCAGATGCCCCATGTATAAAGTAGTGGAAGATGGGCACAGATGTTAGCTCAAGGCCAGTCTTCCTCAGCAAAAAGAGAAGGATTGGCAGTGGATGTTAGTTAGCTCAGGACTAATCTTCCTCAAAAAGAAAAAAATTATTTTGGGTACATTGAAGTGGAATTTCTGGGTCATACGGTAATTCTATTTGAGGAACTGCCAGACTGTTCCATGGCAGCTGTATCATGTTACATTCTTACCAGCAATGTACAGGGGTTCCAGTGTCTCCACATCCTCATCAACATTTTTTTTGTGGGTGTGAAGTGATAGCTCATTGTGGTTTTGATTTGCTTTTCCCTAGTGGTTAAGGATGTTGAGTATCTTACCATGTGATTTTGGCCATTTTTATATCTTTAACCTTTCTTTTTAAAGAAGTTGAATTACTGAATTCTTACCAGTATCACTGTATTTATTTTCGTCTTATTCCTAGAACATATGCTTTAGGAACCAAATAAAGCCAATAAAGTGATTTTTCCTTTCTCAAACTAATTTACATTTTTAGAGATAAGATAAACCTATACAGCTGTAAAGTCTTGATTTTTACTTTTATAAAGATGTTATTATCTTTCTGTTTTCTTAACATATAAAAAGATTTTGTGTTCTATTAAAAGGAAGAAGAACCAGTCATTTTAGTAAACTGTTTCCTCTTCTTCCACTTCCAAATGATAAGGAAGTTACGGAGATAGACTGCAGTGAAAATTCCAATAACGTGTTGCTTGGGCTTCCTTTTTAGTGTCAGAGTATTTGAAATGTCCCTAAAGTAAACTGACACAATATATAAAACTACCTTCACTTGAACCTCTCATTTGTTCCTTTGACATTTCTGTATGTTCCTTTGCTGATAATAGGACATCTGCCAAGGAACCCCCAGCTGCCCCACCTCTAGTAGCAAGAACACTGGTAAGGAGAATTCAGAAATACCTAGACTCAATATTTGACATACGCTTAAAATTTCACAGAGCAAACTTATAAATGTGCGTATTACTGTAAAGTTCATTGATCCTATCTACAGGGGTTTTTTTTTAATACAAATACATTCTATATTGAACTTTCATTGCAAATTGCACACATAGTTGAGATGCAAGGAAAGAAGGGAAAAGCAGTTTGACCAATGATTTTGTTGGATGTTAGCATTTTTAAAATTCACTACCACCATGCCCTCAAGATAGTTTCTTACTCTCCGCAGATAACCCTGCATGCCACTCAACTAGCAAACAATCATTGTATGTCATTAACAATAAGAATGGCTGAATTTATTGTACACCTATTATATATGTCTGACATTGTATTATATTTTTTTTACCAAATATGTAATCTTCATAGCAAACCAGCGAGGTATACATTTAGTGGGAGGTAGTACCAATATATTTTTTTAACTGAAATAAAATAGTATAGAAAATATCAGCGCACATCACATTTAGTGAGGATTAGGTATTCTTTTTATGAAGTTTACTTTCAGTTGTACATTGACACATGTGTGTACTGGGTTGGAATACAGTTGAATTTCATGATAATAAGTAAGTGCATAGAACCAGGCTCTGTCAGCCTATTGATAATGAGAATCTTTGGGTATTTCAGTTATCAATAATGCAGGCTGGAGGATAGCGGAAGACCATCTTAGGCTGAATATTGCCTTCTCCTGAGCTATGATGTATCAGGTTTGTTGAGCAGAGTACCATGCAGCAGTTATCAATCCCAGGGGAGGAATCTAAACACTTCTGCCCATTGCGTCTTGGTATTGGAGTCACCAAGGAGAACACAGCACTGAATGGAACAACACTTTACTACATAGAGAAGAGACAGAGCAAGATCAGCTTCAGTAGTGGGTATCAGTCCCCCATGGCCAATAGGTCTTTCCCAGTGGCCAGCACAGGACAACTGGCCTACACACACCCTTCTTGTGCCACAATAGAAAGGACCCTGTCCCTTCCCAGTGGAGGACACATATAACAGTGGGGTTGGCCATATGACATGTACCCTTTAAGCAAAGACAAAGGAACATTCATTGAGCCTGAAAGAGGGAAAGATATTCCCACACAAGGTGATAAGCCCAGTACAGGCTCTGTGGGCTCTTTGTCTCTTGGCAAGGAAGCGTTCCAGCCTGAAGGCGCATCTTTATGTGGCTAAGTGGAGGTTGAAAGACTGAGCATAAGACTGCCTTTCCCAACAAGGTTTATGGTACTAAACAAAATCAAATAGTGTCACTTTAATTTCCTTGTTATCAAAAATTTTAGTAAATTGGAATTAATTTTATGTTAGCTGAAGCTCTGTGATACTAGCTACTGTTTAAATTGTTTTTCATTAAGAGCTAACAACCTATTGTTTAAAATATGTGTTCTTCAAATTGCTATTTCACACTTTTTTATTAAGTGATGTGGTTTTATAAGATTATATTTAGATCTTGTACGTGCGCATAATTTTCATCCTGGGGAGAATCTGGTTCTTAAAGTCCAGTGTTTTGGGGACTGGAGAAATAGAATAACACACGAGGAGAACACATTGTAGGCCTCTTCAGTTTCCGGATGAAAGAGATTTCTTCACATTCAAAAGCAGTTCTGCTTCTTCTCCTTCAAAATTGTAGAAAGAAACAAACAAATCTGGTCTCAGAGGAAATTCTCATAAGTTTAAGAATCCTCTTGATCTTTGCTTCTTTTTCCCCCAACAATCAGATATTTTCCTTAGTTGATAATCATTCAAATAAACTACACATTAAAAGGTACCATTTGGTTATGGCTTTAATGAACCTATTATAGAATATAAGGAAAAAAATTGGCTGTAGGTAGGGAATAAAATTGCTTGTTCTCATCACTAAATATACGTTGTTTCACTGTCACATTCAAACTTACCCTTTGTGAAATGCAGAGAATAGCAAGTAATTCTTAATAATATGAAGCTCTTCTTTAAGTGTTATCAGTAAATATAACTTACTATGGAAAATGTCATTCTTTGTTCTGAATCTAAAAAGCTCAGAATTAGCTTTTTAATTTTAGACAGTTATTTCAGAACAGAGTGAGTAATTTTAACATGTTTTTCCATTTGTCTCCCCGATTTAATTTCAATAATAAAAAGATATATAAATAGTTTTTACATGTATAAGTTATGTAGTTTTTTAAAAAATTAATTTTAGAAGTACATTAATTTTCAAAAGAAGGATATCAATGGCTGTTTAATTTTTCAGGGCTTTTTTCCAGACTTCAAATTCCATTTCCAACAGTAAGAATGTTTTCCACATCACAGTCCTCGCATCAAGTGGCAGGTCCTGTGTGGAACCTGGGTCGCCTCAATCATGTAGCAATAGCAGTGCCAGACTTGGAAAAGGCCAAGGCATTTTATGAGAATGTACTGGGGGCCCAGGTAAGTGAGGCCGTCCCTCTTCCTGAGCATGGAGTATCTGTTGTTTTTGTCAACCTGGGAAATACCAAGATGGAACTGCTTCATCCGTTGGGAAATGAGAGTCCAATTGCAGGCTTTCTGCAGAAAAACAAGGCTGGAGGAATGCATCACATCTGCATTGAGGTATTTTCATTATTTTAATGCTTTCTGTTTTAAATTTCTCTTTTCCAAAATATCTTTTACTTTTTAAGACTATGTGTTGTCACTGTCATCAGAAACTTTTATTACATTCTCTAAGGGGAATGGTAATATTGGTCCTACTCAAAGATGGGTCCATAGATATGTTCTCTTTCTTGAAAACTGCAAATAATAATATATTTAATTGGATTATGGATTCAACAGCCACCATAAAGGCCACTGAAGTTGACCAAAACAGATTTGAGTCTTTGCTATAGAATTTACTGATCACTTATGACCTCCCATGTAATGAGAATACAACTGCTTTCACTATCACAAGGCAATTAGAAAAAGCAAGTGAAAAGACTTGATAAAGTAAGAATTTCTATATATATGCTAAGTATTCTTATGATTTTTTTCTATCCTTAAAATTCTAATAACTGTTCCTTATTACAAAAACCATACATTTTCAATTACCGACTGTGATTTTTAAGATCTTCTCAATTGCATCTGCTAACAAGTCCTGAAAAAACATGAAATGTTAGATAAGAACTTTCTCATTAGAGAGCATTTATCTGTAGATGTTCATGTTCAGATAACTGCCTTTTGGAACATCAGTACGGATTATGCTTCAATTTAAGTTATTTTGATAGGACAATTCTTTTGATAGAAGGAATGACATAATTAATAGTTAGGCCTCATTCCTAATACAGAAGAGAGAAGAGTTGATTCTAGAGTGAATTCAAGGATTTATTCAGTGTGTATTGCAAACATTTGAGAACCTACAATATGTACTTTACTGAGTACTTGGATTCATCAGGGAATAAGACGTGGACCATGCCCACAGGGAGGAGGGGCAGCTATTTCAACAGGCGATTACGGTGTACTGTGATAAGCAGAATTAATATATGTGTCTCCTCAGTAGCACAAATGAGGGAAAGATTAATTGCTCCAGGCAGGCCAAGGAGGTTGGAGGGCACCACGGGGCATGTGTTACAGTGAATATGAAGGAATTTCCCAGTTGGACAAGAGGAGGAATGTATTCTAGGCAAAGAGAATAGCATGTGGAAAGGCAGAATGTTATCATAACTAACAGAGTTGTCTGGCAATATATGAAGTACTTGACGTGCATTATTTGCTTTAATTCTCATAGCTACTCAATGAGGCTCTATTAACCCCATTTGATGGGTGAGGAAACTGAGTCTTAGAATAGTAACCTGCCCATAGTCACATGAGTAGTAAGTGCCAAGGCTGGGGTTTAAACCGGGATTTGTTCTGATTGCAGGGTCTGCACTATTAGCCTTGGTGCCAGATTGCCTTCATTGCATTAGCTGAGTTTAAAATTTGAGGTGGAAGAGCCGTAAGATGTTAGGCCAGGGAGCTAAGCAAGGCCTAATATTTAACCTTTATCCCTTTTTTAGGAGGTTAATTTTGGCTGCAAGTCTTTATTTCAGTGGACTTGAGGGTTTGTCTAAGACCCTCCCAGGATGAGAAGCAGGATCTTCAGCCTTTGAATCCACTCTTCCTCTCCCACACTACACTGGCTGTGTTCTACATCAGAGAGCCATGCCTTCAAAGGAAGCTGCTATGTGAGTTAGTTCAGTTAAGTAAAGAAAAGTGGAAGTTCAGTAATGTAACAGCAAATTCAAAAGTAGAGATTAAAATGGGGAAGTGAAAATGTATGTCAGTATAAAATGAAGGTAGATAATAGGAGAAGGTGTCAAAAGTGGTTAGTTAGTTGCTAATTAGTATGTCATTAGTATGACACCCCCCCTTCATTATTCTCTGTTCTCCATAAAAAATAAAATGGCTTAACTAGATAGATTTTATTTTTCTGTTCTCAGTCTAATAGTGAGCTCTCCCAGGCTAATGGAGCAGCTCTGCCATCCATAACATGACTTACATGGATGCTCCAGGCATCACCATTTACCAGCCAGAGGGGAAGGAAAGCAGAGAGAGAATACAGGGAAAGTACCTTTACCTTTAAGGAGATGATCTAGAAATTACACGTATCACTCCTGTTCGTGTCCCATTGGCCCCAGCTTAGTAAGTGATACACTTGGCTGCAAGTATAGTCTGTAGTCAGGCAGTTATGTGCCCTTCTAAAGTATAGGGGTTGCTATAATTAAAAGGAAGAAAGGGAGAGTGGGTACTGGAGGCCACCAATCTATGCCCCACTTGGTAATTTTTAAAAAATAGTATTGCCAGGATAGCATGACACTTTTTCTGAATGAAGATATGCTGTAAGATGGAAACATTTGAGAGTTAGTGTTGCCTGCTGCACAGTCGGTGAGATGAAGTTGTTACCATATGCGACTCACCAGATACAGAAAAATTCCTCACCTAGCCTTGAACAGGAAATACATTTTTGTTGAATGAAGCTACAGAGATTCCAGGGTTAATTATTTCCCCACAGTATAACCTAGTCTTTTCTGGCTAATACAACTTGGGTCTGAAATTGGTTTCCACTGAAAGAACGAAAAGAGATAGAACTAGTCAGAAAATACTTCTTTGGTATTCATTACTGTTGCTGTATCACACATTATCCCAAAACTTCAGGGTGTTAAACAACTATTTTATTTTGCTCAGGATTTTGTGATTTGGGAGTTTGGGGGAGGGCTCTGCTGGGCAGTTCTTGCTTAGGACCTTTCATGTGTTTGCAGTCAAATATGGGCTAGGGGTGCAGTCATGTGAAGGCTCACCTGGGCTGGGTGTCCCACATGCCTCATTCACATGCTGGTGGTTGATGCTGGCTGACAGTTGGGAGCTAAGGTAGGTCTTCTAGCAGGAGTAACTATAGGTAATATCTTCAGCTTTGTAAGCTGAGAGTAGTTCTAAGGATAGTTGGACTTCTTGCTGGGCAGCTGGCTTAGTGACTTCTTACTAGCCAGAGTGAGTGTCCCAGGAGAGCTAGGTGGGACCACATGGCCATTTCTGTCCTAGCCTCAGAAGTCCCACAGAAGCACTTCTGCTGCCGTCTGTTGGTCATAAGTGAGTCTTCAAGACATGAGGGGAGAGGACATAGATCCTGAATGCCTCTTGATGGGAGGAGTAGCAAAGAATCTGTAGACACATTTTGAAAGTGGTATAGCCATCAATGTATTAATGTTAAGCGAAAGGAAATGTGTGAAACTTCTAAAAGCTCTAGGACACTTTATTTTCAAATAGCCAGAGTGGGAACCAGCAGCATTTGCATATGCAAGAGGAGGCAAGCTGTCTAGCCTTTGTAAATATAAGGAGACTCAAGAGATGGGTACTTAATAAGGTAGAAGGTGGTAAATATCACATACACAAAAACCAGTTACTTCAGCTTTTCCTGTTTTGGGAAAAGGCAACTTTCAGAAATGTGTCTTCTGAAAATGCTTACAATCTTCTCCAGCTTTATGGTTCATAGCTATTTATTTTTTAATGCTAATCCTTCTTTTAAAATGTTAAATCCACCCATCAGAGAAATGATTTTCCTCTCTGTAATTATCGCTAGGATGGATGCTTTATGTTCTTTCTCACTGGGACCTCAAATAAAACCTCTGGTTTAGCAGTGGGTCTGTTATGGGCATGCGCTGTAGCTTTTAGCTGACACAACAAGAATTTTAGACAGAATGTCCTTTTTCTCATATGCGCAGTGGTATCACATCATTTATCAACATTTTTCTGTCAAAGTTCAGTTTGGATTTCCATTTTCTCTCGTGAGGTTTGCCCAAGTTTCTTATAGTTGTGTGTTTGCCTTTCACCAGCGGGAGTTTAGAAGTTGTCTGGTTCAGTCTCTTCTCTTGCTTGTGTGTGTACTGAGGAACCTGCTGTTTTCTGGCCCACCTTGTATTGAGGCTACCAATGTGTGCTTCCTGCCTTTTGCAGGCCTCTCCCTGAGGAGATGGTTCTAGTATTGAATAGAACTAGCCATGCTTTCACTAAATAACTTACCCAGACAGCAACATATGTCACAGTGAAAACCTCAAGGGCCACTGAAAATATTTACTTATTCAACAAATTGTTATTGAGGTTGTAAAAATATTTAAATGCTTTCATGCTAGTTGGTAAATAGCTGCTGCTCTAAACCTCCTGAGTAACATCCTACTTCCACAAGGACCCTTCCCTGGGACCTCTCAGACATAACCCCAACACATACAAGTCAGCAAGTCAAGGGTTGATATTCAGCGTAGCAGGAGGCCTCCAGGACTCTGCTCCTGGATAAAGTCCCTTCTATTCTGTTTGGTTGCTGCACTTTGTCTATATTATGTTCCTAGTTGTTAAGTACTTTCAGTATCACTCAGACCTTCCCTGCATTAGGTGCTGGGGATATGTAGCTGAACAAAATCCCAAGTCCTTGTCCTCTTGGAGTTACCTGCTTGCTTCATTTACTCACACATGCCCTACATTTTCCACAGAGGATAGAGGTGACTAACCAAGATGCAGTCTGTAAGATACAAAAGGATAAACCTAAGTAACAGTGCCAATTAGAGCAAAGACGAAATGTAAGTCAAAATAAAACTAAAGGTAAGAGTGGTATACCTACTAGTTCTGCCAAATATTGCTTTCTAGTTGCCAAGACAAAAGGGAAAATAAACGGTATTAGAAATAATGATACCCCTTCCCCCTTCCTATCTTTCCCTTCCCTTCTTGAACAATTCAATCCTGAAGACTTTAGGTAGGGCAGAGCAAAATAGTTGTCCACGTTGGTGGGGAGAGCCAGAGTAGGGTGAGGACGGCATTCACAAGTGGGGATGCCAGAGAAAGCCAGAGGGGACTGCCATAGGAAAGCCAGAGACCAAGTAGGGTACCTGTGTGGAGGGAGGTCCAGCGCAGGGTATCAGAGTTTGGAGCAGGGTGGGGTCGGAAAGTTGTACCTGCAGAAAGGCAGCTAGGCTTGAGGTGTCAGAGTGAGGAGGGTATCAGCATGGGAGGCCTGCCTAATGCAGGGAGTTGAATGCCAAGCATGTTGAGGGGGGCATCCATATGTGTATGTGTGTGGGATGGGCAGCATGGAGTATAAGAGGCTGAACAGGGCA